AGCATTAAGGTTGAAGAACCAGTTTCAGGGCAGATGCACAATGAAATGGAGTTGATTTATTTGTGGATTGTTCATTTTAAAGTTCTGATAACTCTTATTTCATTTTTAAGATTTACATTTTAATTGTGTCGACATTCTCTAAAGATTTAGAACTTTTAGCAAGTAAAGCATTAAATCCACTTTACCATCTTATCAGAGCTCACAGCCTTTCTCCCTGAATGACCTCCAGTTTGTCCTCACCTATGGTGCCTGACATGTGAACGTTGGCATGAGTGCTCATGTCCTGCCTCAGACAAACCAAACATCCAAGTAATTACCATGCTTTTGAACCTCATATCACAGATTGGCACTACTAAATTAGTCTACACATAGTTTCTATGTGCTTTCTCTGTCTCCACCCTCATTCCTCTGCCTTGCTAACCACTCTCTTTTGCCCTCCACCCACACAGCCTGCCACCGTGCTTACCTCTCGCTGTCGGCCATCTGCATGGTCTCCAGTTTGGAGTGGGGTCCTCTGTTGAAACCTTTCACCTCCTGCTCCTCCAGACCCTCCAGCAGACGAATAGCGTCTTTGCTGACGCCGCGTCTTTTTGCCAGCACCAGTGGAGTTGATCCATTGTGGTTACTGCAATGCAGGACAACACAGCACTGTCACACCTGAGAGCCAAATGTGCCCTGCTAAAGGAAACATCATATTTACTTTCTAATGGACCCAACACTCCACCTCCTCATCGATGTCTCAGAACCTTCAGCACCATAAGCCATGTGTGGCTGCCATGTTGCCAGCTAAGACACCTACTGTTTAGTCAGGGTTCAACATTGACCATGGCGTGATGGGCCACGGGAACATAAAGTTACTGTGTGGTCCACTGTGTCCACCAAGCTTTATCAGATCTCTACTGAGAATGAGACACCGGATCTCAGACCACATGCACTTTGTCACCCAGTCTCACCCTTCCCTCTCTACATCCCACACGCTGTGAGTGGTGGGGGATAAGATGTTTGTGGGCAACATGTACTGCCTTTTATCTTGGCTCTCCTCTATTGTGACTCCCCAACAAACACAATAAATATTGAATTACACAATAAACACAAGTAAAAGCATCCTCTTCTTCTCTGGTTTCCTCTTTCGTCTAAGCAGTGCCACGGGCTGTAAACACAGAGAGAGCGACTTGTGGCTTTATTTGCCATGAGATGTCCCAAGACTTCAGTGGTAACACATTTAGTTGTTTAAGATAATGTGGTTTAACAGATAAAAATGCTGTGTCATTAGTCTGATTAGTCAGTCTGTTTGCTATAATAAATGAAGTCTGAGTTGTACATGTCTGCCAAGCAAACAGGTCTCAACAACTGTACATAGATACAAGTAGTCCAAGTCAAATTTCAATAAATACAGAGCCACTTGAACATGTGGTTAGGCAGCCTCAGCGAGAAAAGAGGAAGAACATGAAGACAAAGGAGAAAGGCTTGAGTGCATTCCTCACCGGAAGAAAACGCTACTGTCTTCCAGTAAGTAAATCACTTTGTGGTTTCAGTGAACAGATGTGTGAACTTCTCTCTCACTTATTTTTATCCTAAACCCTGCCTTCAGAGAAATATAGGCCAATGTTAATTTACAATTTCAGACAAACTACCACTGAAAGGGATAAGAAACATGACAGTCTACTTATGTCTCAGTATTACTGTAAAATGCTAGTTATATAGTGATTTACAAGTCTTTGCCTGGTCACTGGGAGCAACTGGGGTTCAGTGTTTTGCCCAAGGACTCTTCAACATGTGGACGGACACATGGAGTTTGAAAAGCCGCCCCAGCAGTCAAATCCTATATGTTATAGTTACATGGTTTACCTTATGTTCATAAATTTATTATAATCCTGTTAATTCTTTCATTCTTCTTTAAGCTGGCTCTACAAAGACACTTCCCAATGAAGCTCAACTAACCACAGCATAGTCATTGGCAATTAAAGAAAGTGTTTGTTCATTTTGTCCAAACAAAGACTCTGGTTTCATTCCTGTGTTGCCTGATCCCTTGGCAGATTGTTTGACTAAGTGCTGCCCCCCACCCACCTAAATTATATTCTTTTCAGCACTGTAGCCAGGCTGACAAAGAGCCACAGTGCTGTTGAGCTTAACATTCCCTTAGATCTCAGCAGCAATGACTTCATGAGCTTCTTTACAAATAAAATCACAACTATTAGAGAAAAAAATTGGTCGGACCACTCCCACAGCTCTCGCAGATGTGCCATCTACTACAATGGCTTTAGAAACATCTGTAAGACCTCATTTATACTTGGACTACTTCTCCCCTATAGATCTCTCTGAGTTGACCTCAACAATTGCTTCATCTAAATCATCAACATGGCTCCTGGACCCCATCCCGACCAGGCTGCTCAAAGACGT